TATTTATAACACAGCCTAGACACATCCTTAGGATACCGACTCATGTTAAAATACAATACATAAATACATCGTATTTTGGTGGTGCGTGAATAAACATTATTATAGTATCAATAGGTACATGACTAATCTTCTTGGTTGCTAAACGTGACGATGATAAAAATATTTCATGAACACTAAACGAGCACGTGATCCAGTGCTTTGGCGATTTAAACAATTATTCGAGAAATTTTTTTCTTAACATGCCTTACAATATTATTATAATTTACCTATCGCTTATGATTCTTATGATTTCCGTTTAAGTGTTCGCGCCGTATACAGTTGCTTTCCAAAATCGATATTCGAATATCATCCAAGCATTAACGTGCAGATACGTCTATTTACCGAATACCACCGCTGATCGACAGTCAATAAAACGGTTGCATCGGAAAACCGCAGACTTTTGATTTCTATCCGGAAAAGATCGACAGACAAAAACTGCAAAATTTATCGGTCTTTGTAAAACAAAATACCCCAAACTTATGGTAGTTAAAACTGCACACTATTTTTAATGCTATTTAACTGATTAGATAAAATAAGATTCTAAGATATACTACAATAATCATGCTAAAACGTTTTAATACTTTGATGTTTAATTAAATTGTATTTATTTTAGGAACAAATGTTTAAATGGTACGAAGAATTTTCAATCGACGGAGATCAGATGAAGTTTTTAAAAAATGTCGATAATAGATTTCAGCCATTCGAACTTTAAACATTTTACTTTAAAAGTGTATGGTTATTGGATACAACACTTTTAAAAATTGTGCGGTTTTAACCTATTAAATGTGTGCGGTTTTACCATAATCTACCAAAAATGTGTGGTTTTGTTCTGTTTTTTATCAAAAATATGCGGTTTTAGGAGTCATCGACTAAAACATTGAAATATAATATCGCAACTAATAACTTAAAAAAGCAAAACGTTATAATACAATATAATACATATTATGTACATGTATTCTTATGAAGAAAAATGATTGTACACGAAAGCGAAATTCGAATATATTATTAAATACTAAAATATTTACGCTCCTGTATATAGTAATGTACATATAGTAATGAAATAGGATTATAATCTTCTAATAATCCATAGAAAATTGAAATAATCAATTCAAGATAAGGGAAAATAAATTGATTTTACTTAGTATAGATGGTATTTTGGCGAGATAAGAACATACTTATAAAAACTTATTCATTCAATACATAATATTATTATGATAATTCAAATCATGTTAATATAATATGTTTCAAAAGAAAAAAAAGAAGAAAATCGAATTCACAGTTTCTTGTTCGTTATCACATTAAATACAATATATAAAATAAAATTGGGCAAATGCAAGCTTTAATCCAAGGGAAGGATTAGCTAAGAATTTTTAGACCTTTGGACGTGTTATATATTATGTGAACATGTAATAAATACTTAATAGATATGTTTTTAATTTAAGATTGATCAAAAGAGTAGGTAATTAACATAATATTTCTTATTTTATAAACTTAAAATGTATTATAACTAATATACATATGTACATATGTGTTTAGTATAGTTATATATTTTGTCTTTCTGTAAATACAAATTATACCTTCTCCCCCTGTTTCATATTTTTAGATACGCCCCTGGACGAATGTAAGTTTGTTAACTTGATGCTAATATCTCATCATATTATATTCCGAATACGAACCATAAAATAATTTCAGTTCATAATGTTCCGTCTCAAATAGCTCCTTGATACGTCACAAATTAATTTGAAATTATTGAGGAACTAGTGAATAAATACTATAAAAAGCTTCATACTAAACTACAAAATTTCCAATAATCCTCTTATTTACTATTAATTCTCATACATAATATCCTACAATCTTACTCTCCACGCTCTTAACATTATGAATAAATTAAAATATAAAATAACAACAATTGAATAGTTCTCAAAGGATAGCTATCATTAGATAACCTTTTATATCAATTTTATTGCCATTTGTCTATTTATTCATATTCGTATTCTCTTATTATACGGATTATTAAAATACGGATTTTAACATTTTACTATAAAAAAAAAAAAAAAAAACCATATGATTATTCGTTTACGGAGATTTGTAATCATGTTTGACACAAAAGGAGGTTTGGTATTTTTCAGTTGATGATTCAAGAATAAATAATACTACCCGTCTATTACAAAATTGATTTTATAAGTTAAATGTTCATAACTACACATTTAAAGAAGTTTGTGCATAATTATTACATACATTCATCTACTGTATTTTTGTCTTACAAACTATCTATGTTCATATAATTTACCGGCTATCAAGTGCAAATGTCTATCTATTCAAAATAACCCCTAACAACCCTTAAATTGTTGTTCGTTCAGAGAATCATAAACAATAATTATTGCCTATGTTTTTTGATATAGAAATAACCGATCGGAAATCGTCATTACGGCTAAAGGAAAAACAATAGAAATAAAAGTAACGCAAGGTTTTTAAGAAGATTCCGATAAACGGTTTATTTTCTGTACTATTGGGTATTGCTAAATAAAATATCAATAAAAAAATAATAATAAAACTCGAACATAATAAAGTATAACAAGCACAAGTACATAATATATACTGACAAACAAAAGACGAACCTATACATAATATAATTTATGTAACTGTTAATAATGCAATTTATATATATATATATATATATATATTTTTGTCAAAGTAGCTACTCCATAATAATTAAAATAACTTAAATAAATGACATTTATATTACAAAAGTAATTTTAATATTAGTCTATTGATCTATAAACATCAACAATATAATTAATAATAATTTAATAATACGGTAAGTACCGCGCTCAAAGAAAAAAAAAAACAAGAAAATATTATACTCATATAATATTATATACTATAAAATAAATAATAGTAAGTAAATATGTAAGCTTATATGCAGGATTTCTACACGCCTATGTATCATTTTGACAAGATTTATCTATATTCATATTCTGATTAAAAAATTCAAATATGTTAAACAAAATCATAAAAAAAATTATAGTAATACAATCTAATTAAAATGGTGTTTTTATACAACAAACTAAACAATAATTAAATAAGCTAAACTACAGATACATAAAGTATTTCATACAATATTAAATTTTAATAATTTTTTTTATTTTAGTTTGTATTAACTGTTCCATCCGATTATCAACATTTTCAGCTACTCATTACAATATATAAATTTAACTTTTTAAAACGAGGTAAACATGTTATGAAAATTGTTCGATTATATATTTAAATATAAAAAAAACTAATTAATTCTAATTACTCAAAATAACGCTATAATTAAATTCCTTTCGATAAAAAAGTAGAAAAAAGATGTTTTTCTATTAGCGATAGCATTTGCTAAATTTGCTAATTAATCAGTTTCAAATACAAATAAAGAACCACATCTACATGAATCATGATCTATTCTCTAAAATAAATATAATAAAAATTTGTCTAAAACTGTTCAACAATTGTATATTATTTTAATTAAAATGCAATTATTAATAACAAAACCATATTAAGTATAAGAAAATTATAGACTATAATATTAACGAATAAGAAACTTTGTACAAACAGCAAAATCAAAAACAAAAATCAATTTATTTGCTTTTATTCGATAATGAATATTATTTTAAGATCTAAAAAAAATATATAACATTATCCTAATTATTGCGAAAGGTAAAGGTGAGTCCATTTCAGTATTATGTGATTGTCACTTATAACATTTTTAATTTAAAATTTAATATTATTTTCTTAAAATACACATCGATCTATCTTGGTGTTCAACAATTACTCTAAAAAAACCTTAAAGATATGATATATATTATCCATAAAAAAAAGAAATTCTAATCATTTTGTATTTTTAACGAAATAACTAATCTACCCTGTGAATACATTAATGTTTCAGAGTGTGTGTGTGTGTGTGTGTGTGTATCTGTAATTTTATGAATGTAAGAATCAGTGCTTGAATTATGTATAGATAATGTTATGTTTTAGTTTTATTTTAATTTTAATTTGCAGGTAGTGTCAGATCTAGGATATTTGATGACTGGGGCTAAAAAAAAAATGCCGTGATCTTACGTAGGTGGTACGTAAGTAAGTACGGAGAATGTTAATAACTTTTTTTAAATTTCGTAAACATAAGAGCACCCTTATATCAACAGTGACTGGAGCAGACATATAAACTTGTTTCACCTTTAGATCCGGCACTGTTTACAGGATAATAATAATAATAAATAAGTTGAAATTCCCAAAAAACTATAATTTATTGACGAAAATATTAGTAAAATTAATCGATAACATATAGTATATATGAAGCATTATATAAATTAATGTACGAATGACGACTTTTCTAATAGGTATTTTAGAATTTATGTATTAACTCGAAGTTAATTGCTTATTACAATAATCCAAGCACTGAATATGAGCGAGCGCATACGCTTGTATGTGAGTATGTGTGAATGTATTATTTTGATGCGTTTACATGCTAGTGTATTGATATGAAGAGAAATAGAGAAAAAAAATTAGTTGAAGTCTTGACAGAAAATCCGGGTCATAAGATGGTTCCCATTGGAATTGCACTTTTCATATTGCACAACAGTTGTACATTGTTAATTAACTTGTAAAACTAATAAAAAATTATTAACAACAACAATAACAATAACAGCGTAAGAGCTATAATAAATAATCGCAAAAATGTATTAAAATTTTAAGACTTAAAGCCTACAAATAAAATATAAAAAGTAGGTATATCTATGGAATGTAAAAAGATAAAATAACACAAAATTCAACTAAAAAAATATATCACAAAAAAAGCGTTTTTGCTTGCTTATAGTTGCTGGACCAAATTGCTTCAGTTGACTAGTGAAATTATAAAAAAAGAAAATATATACGAAGAAAATCAAATCATAATACAATAAAAAATTATTAACTTTCCATAGAAAAAAAAAAAAAATTAAAACATAAAATTAATTTAAATTATTTTTACCGTACAATAATAATCAAATATAAAACATTGTTTAGATCATTTTTCTTTTGTCTTTTTAAACGAACTCAAGATTGTCATTGATGAACACAGTACAAAGACAAAACACATTTTCAGGCCAAATACATCGTAATATTATATAGAAAGGAAAAAGGGAGCTATTACAATATACAATAAATATATATGTATTTATATAATTATAATTAATTACATAATACTATATAAGTATGATGATATTATCCATACTCCACTAAGCCCTGAACACATTAGGTATGTGATTAAAAAAAAAAAAAAATATGTATGATATGAAAATGATTAATATTATTGCAAGAATCCTAACAAGAATCGAGAACGTCATCAACGTTACTAAGATGAAATTTTGATCGTCATTGAATTTCTAACTATTCAATTAAAAGAATAATTCTTATCATACAAGATTGTTTTTTGTACGTATACCCTATATTAAAATATGTATTTATTATTCATGTTTATTTCATTTTACATTGAATTATTCTAATTAGATGATATAAGTTTTTGTATTTTATTGCTCATTTTAACAGTTGTAATATATACAGTGCTCGGAAAGTTAATTTAGTAAAGGATTTAATTATCGTTCAGTTCCAGTTCCCAGTTAAAAGACATGAATTATTTCTTTAGTTCTCGTCCCTAAAATGGAACTTATTTTCATTCTTCGTTTTTTTATTTAAAAAAAATATATTGAAAAATTTAAATGGTTTATAATTGACAATGCTTCTGACATATTTTATTACTTGGGTAGACTTATTTTGTGGAATTTGAAGACTAAGTTGATGCATTAGAAAACAATGACGAATACATTTCTAATAATACAAAATACAGATAAAATTGTCGAATTAATTCAATAACATCGGAATAATAATTTTGTAAATAAGTTTAATAATATCAAATTTGATCACAATATATTGTGATGGTAATGACGTTTTGTAAAATTACACAGATAGTAAAGTATTTACGAAAATCACTTTATTTTATTTTACTAACACTGCCAACGAAAACTTGCGTGCGTCAGACGGACGACAACGTCGCCAATAATATACTGGCCTATATTCAATTCATGTTTTAAAAATAATAAGTAGTCAAAACCAAATAATATGAAATGCATAGGTTTGGTAATACTGATATATCTATTATGTATAATATCGATATTAATTAAGCAGAATAATTAACAATTACTATGAAATATTAAACATGGAAAAGTTTATCGACTGAATTGTAGAATTTAATGTTTCGAATTGCTCTCGTATTTAAGAAAAGAGCGAACGAAGTAACGAGAAAAGATGTTCATGTTCCATCATTATATTAACTGGATTCTAGAGACGATTCATCATAAAGCCCTTAAAATTGAATGAATTTAAAGGGACAAGTAGAATGCTTTCCTTCCAAGCACTGAATATATTTATACATAATGTATATTTATCTTTGATCGAACGGCAAGAAGTTATAATACAATGCTATATTATACTCTCGCGTTTGGATGCACGTTATTCATTATGGCGTTAAATATTTCGGGCTAATAAAGCGCTAACAATGCATCACTCAGTTCAAGATTGTTTTACGTCACTTTTTACAACACATGATACATATATTATATAATGTATTAAATCGTTATTAATATTTTTCGCTTTTGATTGTAAACACATTTTGTTCATTATTTAGGAAGTATCCGATTCGTTTCAGGTAAAAAAACGAAACGTTATAAAAAAAAAAAAAAAACCTGTAACAATAAAATAGAAAGATAATAATTCAGCCTTGATGCAAGTCTTCTTCACACTTGGGTATGTCGAATATTTCGGCGAATAGCGGTGGCAATTTCAACATGTGCCAGTGTAACCTAAACCATTCGAGGTGCGTTACATGTCGGGCACCAATGCTTCGCAATTCAGGTAATTTCGACAACACGGCTTCGGCCAAATTCTGATCTCCTCCATGACCTTTGCTCAGCTGAAAATTCAAAATATTCATTTTAAAACCTTCATTTATTTGTTATTTCTAATTTTATTTTGAAGTTAAGCGAGTATGCCTAGTGACGGAACGCGTAACTTAAATATAATAGGTATAGCTCCAACCAATGGACGGAGGAGTGAATAACAATTATTGTTACTCAAACATTATTGCTTCTCGTGTTTAATTTTAGTTTACAACTTTTATATTTTTTTCTAAATTCAAGATAAAAATATTCACTGAAGTTCAATTTGATCTACAATTGGCAAAGAACATTTGTGGGGTATATGTGAGGTTTTTTGGCCTCACCCCTCCCTTAAAAATTCGACAGCTTCTGGCTTCCATGGCATTGAAATTCTAGAACCTTGTATACGTATCTAACTTAAATTTAATTAGATTTCAACTTACTTGCAGCTTGAATGCTTCCACGATCCGATCTTGACTGTGCTGCACGGTTTTCACATCCGAGACACCTGGTCTGTCCGGCGTTAACAGCACGATGGCGGCGAAAAGACCGACATCAGTGTCTGTGAGTGATAAACTGTTGAAAAACGTCACCAACTGGAATACATTTGTGGCGAATTCCACCTGCGAACGTTATGACGTGTTAAGATACGTTGCAACACGTGTTTTATTTTTATTATTTGTCCACGTGTCAACTATAATCATCTTTCGTAGTTGTACGGTCATATAGTTACACCATTACAACAATAAAGCACAGACCGAATTCTATCGTATGAACTGACACATTTCGTGTGAATCGTTTATAATTATTCAAGAATATAGTTTCATAATTTCTTTAAACAGAAAAAAATCACAACAAAAATGAGACACAGCACTTCATCGATTCACTAATATACATATAATAATATACAATTCAGGTCATAGGCGAAAAACATAGATCAATATTGTTTATAGGCAGTACTTGATTTGGTAAAATTAAAGAAGGGGGACTCCGTTTGCTTTAAAAAAAAATAGCGTCTCCAAAAATTTCTGAGAATTAGTTGGGGTATTCCGTTCCCTTATGTCCCCCCTCAAGTCGAGCACTGTCGATAGGTAAATACTTTCAATGGTATTTTACTGATTTTTCATAATTTTTACACGTACATTAAGAATTCACATAAACGTATAATTTCTTCAATAGTTTACAATTCATTCATTATAATCATAATCCAAATTAAATAAATTTTTCAAAGAAATTATTTTGACTATGTGTTAATTTACTTTAAGTTTGAATTACACTCTTAAATACACAACATTTATTACTTGAAGAAGTTGTATACTAGTTTGGTTTTATTTGATTGGTTACGGATATAAATTTATAATATTAACGGAATATGATAACAATCATCTTCAAATATAAAATAAAAATCTTGACTATTCGTACGTATAATATAATATAGTTTATTGTTGCATACTATGTGTTAATGATTTCGAACTTAATTTTGATTCTTCCAACTAAAATTTCCTGTGAGCTGTCAGCATAAATGTCTGTATCAAATAAATTACGAGATTAAATAAATAATTCATTGTTTAACCTTTTAATTGTTGTTATTTACGGTTAAGTGATAAATGACATTAAATGAAATGCTATATTTTAGTAGAAAAAATCGATTAAATTGGGTTGAGTCCTATTTCTGGAATGATTTCGAGATGGTTCACAGATTATATGCGGTTTACCCTTCGACATTTTAATCGCATCAATTATCAAAGTAAACCAAGCCTTGTGGTTTATTTACATTCCTAGTTAATGATGTATTTCAATAGTGATGCATATTCAAAAGTCTATTGACAACGTGTAATCTTTGAACTGAAATTTAACTTTTTCAATGTCGAATAAAATGATGAAAACTTTAATAATGTATTCTTTCGGGAAACAGCAATAGATGCGTTTTATATAGCAATATTTATGTGTATTTATAATTACGTCTCCGCGAAAAAAAAAAAAATTTGCATTTTACATTTGTAGAACTAATCGATAGCCATAATTCATAAGACGCCGTACACATGTTTGGGTCAGTATTTGTGTTCACACTTATCTAATGGAAAGACAAAAAAAAATATGATCATCGCTCATGATAATTGTGGAAAAATCATAATAGCTATTCAATTAGAAAGGACAATATGCATATAATATAAAGAAGTGAAAATGATATTTGAAGTAGGTATATTAATTTTATCAGAACCGAGGCGATAAGCTATTATTGCCGGGTCGTGAATGAATTAAGAATTTAATTTCCAAATTTATAAGGTTACGAAAAGATACGGATTTATAAAACTTATAAGATGTAACTATTTACAAAAAGTCTACTTCACTGACGTTCAAAATACGGGTCGGAAAACTTAATTTAACTCTTCGTCAAGAAAAATTAAGTACAAAGTACGAATGTCGAATCCTTAATGGCTTCATGGAGTTCGTCCGTATCTCATACAACCTCCCCCCTCTCCTTGCTTCAAACCCTTTGGTGGAAATACGATAAAAAGAATTCACCAGCGTTAATAGTATAACGGTATTGCGATAAGGACGCGGAAAAATGTACGCGGAACGTGTGACTCGAAGATTTTAACGATCGATACATATAGGTAACCGTTCGAAGCCGAACAATGAATGCTCACGTCGTAAATAATTTCCAGTTGTTGTCGCGTGATAAACGTGCCGTCGTAGAAGGTCAGCGAAAGTTCCGTGGCCAATCTGGATACGTAGCACAGCCACAATTCGAAAAATCCCACTTTTATGAGAATCAGTTGGTCGTCTTGACTGAGGTCTACGAAACCTGTATCGGAACAAACGAAAGGTTGCGTTGTGGTTTAATGTGCCGGACTCGGTATGCGGATCAACGCCAACGGCAAACGTAAAACGAAAATGTTTTTCCGTACCTGGTACTCTTTTTGCGAATTCCACTACCCTTTGCACAGTGGGCGTGATGCGTGCAGCTAGCTGTTGCCACAACCATATCTTTTGCTTTTTCTCGGTGTCCGCTGTTGTTGGCGCAATATCTGGACTTGTACATCCCTTACCGGGCTTCAAAAATAATAAACAAAATTCAAAATTAATGGACCAAATTATAATAATAATTATTATCATTACATATTATACGATAACGCATGTTATGTATAAATAATGGTACACAGTGAAAGACTGAAAAATATCATTTTTTTTTTTTTTGTACATGAATTTCAATTAATTTTTGTCACGGTGAAGAATTAAATTATTACGTTTTGATCGAAAAAAATTGATCTTCTGCCATGTAAGATAAAAACGAATTTAAAAAATCAAATTCAGAATAAACAGCTAAAGCATGGCATAATGCGAACAATATTTATTAATGGTATGATAGTACGAAGTCGAACGAAAATTCGACTTATTTTAATTAAAAGGCATTAATTTGCTTTTACAACACGGTAACAATTTATCTTTAAGCCTACTATATTTTTAAAATTAATTACATTCCACAATATAAGAATAAAGGAAAAAATTATATTGCGCAATTTTTAATTAAAATATTTACATTGTACATGTGACCTTTGGTGCTCGGGCACTATTACATTGTCTACAACATTTTATTAATTTTGTGCATTTAATATTATGAACCATTGTAGGTAAAACATCTTATTTTAATTTTACTGGATATCGGACTTTGTCTTTTTAAAAAAAATATTTTTATTTGGAAAACAATAAATGAACTTTTCTATACAAATTTAAACAACAATAATTTTAATTTCAACCAATTATAGTGGTAATTATAAACTATAATTTGTTTCATAAAAAGTTTGTTTCGATTTAATTAAAATATGGCTTCTCGTAAAAATTGCATTTAAATTCTATTTAAGGTAGTCCATAACCAATGAATGTGATTTATATTTTTTAACTTGTTCGACAAATATTTAGCAAATATTTGATGAACGAGTAAACTTTGAACCGCCTGAATGCGACCAATTTAAACAGAAAATGAATATGTCCTTCGTTTTCAAAATTTTAAAAACAAACATAGATAATGAAAATAAATACACGTATTGTGACACGATAGCCGTACCAAAGACTATAATTTATGAAGCTCAACGCACTTGTCGAAAAACGACTATTTGTTATTACTACCTTTTCGCATTGTACCAACGATTTCGAGAAGCGGAAGCGGTCGAAAGAGAAACAAATTAATAATAATAACAATAATAATACAGATAGATTCGATCGAAAAAATCGATCGGAAGTGAATCGATCACTTCCACGTGGATTTTACACCAACTCAAGTTTTCAGTCCACACGTGTAACATAATATTGAATACGTGGTGGTCGTTTGCAATATTTTTTTCGGGGGATAAGAACCGGGATGAACAGCAGAATGCGATAAAAAGAAATCGAAAGCATTTCTTTTTAGTCCTATGTAACTTTACCGTTACATATTACCAGACACGTATAGTAATTCTACGGAATCACACCTACGGGACGAGTCTATATAAAGCGGGCGGGGGAAAAAAAAGAAGCCATATAATAAAAACCTGCGAAATACTCGCGGACATAGTATACACAGGGTGGTCCACGGCATTCGTGAAGAAAACGCCGGGTACAGCTGCGTACTCGAAGAGACGATCACCATGTCGCAATTGCCCTGTACACCGAGCAAGTATAAAGTTTCGGACTGAAATGGGGTCCAAAAAGCGGTCCGTAAATCCTCGGCCGTCACGCCATTACTTTTTTACGGGCCGCAGTCCGTGCGTAGAAACACCGTGAATTTAACGATCTTTGGCGCGCAGTGTATAATATAATATCCAATAATTCGATTACACCGCGTCTAGTCGATAAATATCGTTTCCCACGCACACGCCCCCTCTCCCTTCGTGCAACAGAACGTATTCCAGTAATGATATGCAGAGTCGTGCGACGTTGTTAAGCTGCGTGAGCACGATTTTAATAATGGCAAGAAAGTGGTAATAATTATATCGTTTCTATCGTCGTTATAACGGGCGCGCGTACGGGTCGTCCGGAGACAGGAGAGGGAGGCGCGGCAGAACTAGGATATTATTGTTCGCGGTAATAAATCAAACGATAAAATCCGGCTTTACCGAAAAAAATAAACTACACACTATGGGCACCGTCGTACGCGTTTTGTTTAAATTTTTTTTTTTTTTTTTACCAACGAACTGTTCGCAAAACTCGAGTTTCGATCGAGATTAAAACGACGGAATACTGGGCACGAGGAGGCGGCGAATCCGGTACGGGGGCACGGCTGCCTTGCGCACGTTTGAAAACCATTGCTGAGAAACGGTACGAAGCGCAACAACGGTAGTGCGCGATCGAGAACCCAAGAAGAACGCGATATGGAGCACTGTAACAATAACCCGTGTTCGGCGATCGATCGGATCGGTTCAAGAAAAACCGTACGGTCAGGGCCGGCGTCAAGGGGAGGCTAAACAGAACATTCGTCCTGGATCTCGGGCTTAAAATTCTCATTGAAAAATATTATGTACGGAAATCTCGTAAAATAAAACGTGAAATGTGTGGATAGCCTGGTGAGAGCGATTTCCAAAAAAATCCGTTTGCATATAATATAAAACCAATTAACAAACCGACAATATTATATTTAATATGTCTCGTACGGGACGCCGCACAGTATGGAAACCGGAATACATATGAAATTTATTTTATCGCATTTCTTAAATTTAATCAGTCATTACCCAATATCGTGTGCGATACCGAGTCTGCATACATGTTATTGCCCTTGGTTGCGACTTACAGGCTATAGGTGACTATTTTTATGGGTAAAATAAGTTTTGCCCAGAATCTCGCGAAAGGCAACGCCGGCCCTACGTTCGGCAACGCGACGCGTAAAATCGTTAAACATCTTCGTGTCATCCGCGCAGGGACAACCGAGGTGGCGCTCGCGGTTCATTTTCGTTCCGTTAGCTATAACGTCGCGTTACATAATTACCGGAGGTAATGCGATTATCGTTACGTAAAATTACCGGAGAGGCTACGGGTTTCCGGAGTAGCGTTCTGGTCAGCTCGTCCGTGTAGTCGCAGTTAGTCAGGTGCGCCTGCGATATGGCCGCGATCACGTCATACGATATGGACACGCCGCCGCCGTTGGTCTCGATCACCGCGGTCGTCCCGGTGCCGGTCATCGCGTCCACCGCGGTCGGCGTGCCGCTGATCCCTATGGCTGCGGCCACTGCAGCAGCCGCGGCCGCGTTGGCCGCCGCCGCGGCCGTCGTCGTGGTAGCCGTCGTGGCCGTCGGGGCGGCCGCCACCACCACGATCGAGTCGGTGGTCGACACGGTCTTCGACTCCGACTCGAGCTGTTCACGAGATCTCTTCGGCACTCTGCCGTACCGCACGGCTGGAAAAAAGGAAACGAAAAATTAATAATAATGGGTAAAGAGGAAAATTAAAAAAAAAAAAAAAAAAAACCCCAAGAAATTATAAAGACATTGAATCAATAGCAACGAATATAGACATACGAATATTTCGGTCGTAACGCACGCTCGCCTCCTACCCCCGGACGGATCGCATGGGACACTTGTGATTGATCAGTCGATCGTATAATGCGATCGTAACTGACCCTCGTAAATGTTGTTCATTGTTGGAGCAAGGGGGATGACGAGTTTGAACGCAAAACTTGTCACCATCCTCACGTTCCTCTGTTCGTTAAAAATACAGTTGAAAAAAATCGTTGAGAATCCCGTGCACTATTGTTCATTGTTTTATTTTACGTTCGATTCCGTTTTTGCGAATATATTGTATTTATGTATTTATTACAATGGCTTTAATACACTTTGCACCCGTTTGATGTATTTTTGTTGCACGTTGTTACGACGGATATAAACGGTTTAGCTTTTAAATACCGGCAGGTAAGTGATAAATAAACATCCGAATAACTTTATCAAATAAAATATGATTTCCTATGTCTTATAGTTTTTCTTTTTCTTTTATATTAACCCTGTATTGAGTTATTACAACGATTAGGTACGAACGGTCGAATCATTATCATGGTAAATGTATTACGGGAATACTATGAAAATCGAATGACGTCGAGAATGTCAGTTTCGTTTTTTTTATTAAATTGTTGCGTTTATTCTTCCTTCCTACTGCGGATAAATTATGGTTTCTCGAAAAGGAAGGGTCTCTATTTGAAAACAATTAATCAAGGAGATTTATTTTACGTTGGTAGCGCAAATAGTGAATATCATCGGAGACGGTCTCATTAGGACCGATAAAAGACATTTTTATTTGTTCATTCTCCTAATCCCCCCTTATTTGCGTCGCTGCTCCACGTGAATGGAGTTGAATTTCACTGCTACTAGAATGTATGGTGCGGAATACAATACTACGCTGTACATATCCTGTCGAATGTTCGACATTCTCTATCTGTCATCGCCACGGGGTTTTAATTTCACGAAATAATATTACTTTTAACAGTTTCGCTGTTGCGCAGGAAGGGCGCAAAACCGATGATACAACAGTACATTCGTATCAATATTTTCTAGTCCCTCGAAATGAACAATATATTTTTAGCGTGATTTCGGTCGTTTCTCCTGTCGTTCGTACATCACGTGGTACACAACGTACAGATACGTAATGAAATTGCCTACATTGTCCGTCAAACAAAAACATATCTACCGAGCGAAATCCGAAACAGTATAATATTTACCCATACACGTCACAAACTTCTCTGGTCTGCCCCTCTAAGTCAGCCATTTGCACATTATTTTCACGCACGTTAGTCGCAAATAATATCGTCGGGAGAGTATACAGTGGGATCAACTTACACTACTCATGTTGCTTCAACAAACTGCACACCACGTTGTTGCCACACTCAAAACGAACTTCCAACAATAATTAATTATCGAGAACAATTATTGTTCTCGTGCAAGTCATGGAAGTCAGTAAGTTTTATCTAAATGATATTATTACTGTAAATGATGGAAAAAGAGGGGAGGGTTGCAAAAAAAAAAAAATGTATTAAGCGCGCGTGATGCCTGTGTGTGTGTTTGATTTCTTACTTGTCACTGGACTGAGAAGAAGTGACTACAGATTATGATTCTAATAAAGGGCTGTTGAACTGAACGATGATAAAACGTGAACAATGGAGTATATTGAATTTCTAAAGAGTTATACGTTTTAATGTTGATCTCTGTTAAGATTATCGTAGGATGCCATTGGGTGTAACTACTGAAATGCGTTACACGATCTGTTTGATCAAACAGGATAAGTAAAAATTACAGTAATGGCGTAAGAAGTTGACAAGTAAAGTACAACAAATGCATGCATAGTACGTCCGCGTTTATCGCGTTTCTTAGTACTTAGAAAAATTGGTTTAACTTCACCATAATATCCAAACATTCAAATCGACAAAGCGGTTCGCAATTTCAATCGTAATATATAACGTATTTCGGTTCTAAAAGAATAATGGATTCGAATAGAAAATACTATGCATTGTAAAATACTTTTCACCGAATAATAGAAGAAGAAGAAAAAAGTGTTACAATTGAAATATGTGAAATGTTCGGTCTCTAAGTGTTTTTCTAGAGAATCCATTAATGTTACACAAATAATAATTATTTAACTATATCTCGTCGGTCATTGAATTTTTCCTTTATCTATTATCTTAGAGTTTATTTAAATATTTAATACATTTTACACATTTATAATGGTTTTATGAATGAAGCTTATATTTATCCGTTTCTTTTGTGTGGTAATAAAAAACTTTTTATAATTTTTTTTATTTATAGTTTTTTTATTAATATTTTATTTTTAGGTCTTCATATAATTTATAATAAGCTATACTTCATGTATATTATATTTTCGTCTTTAAAGTATTGAATCGCATTAGTTTAACTAATAATCGAACTAATGTTTTTTCGGAATAATATTGGACTAAAACATATAATAAACGAATTATTATTTATATGTAAATAACTTTGAAAGTAATTATAAATTAATGCATTTTCTGAAAACTACTTTATTTTTTATGTTTACGATTCACAATATTTTTCAAAATTATGATTAATCTTCATTGTCCATACATAATATAGATACACATAAAATTCATCAAATATCAATGTAGATAAATATTGTAACCAGAATTACTTGACATTTGGCACGCACGTTGCTTCTATAGCACATAAAAGGTACGCACGTCCGTAGGTGTTTTCAAGTCATTCGAGTGACTGTGTCTAAAATATGTAGATTCATATTCAATGTAGACGTTCGGCCACTGAACTCAAATCCGGTGTCAAAAGTGTTTAACCATAGCCCATGGGCGTTGGTAGGAGGGGATAGGCGTAGGTCTCCCATTGCATCCCCAAAACATATATTTAATGGGTCATTATTTTATTCAGAGATACATTTTGCAATTCAAGTTTAGTCTTTGGATACAAACGAAAAATAAAAAAATAAAACATAATTATTAAATGAAACGTCAGTAGATTTCAATTAAGGGAATTATTTTTAAAGTACAACATCGTGCAGTTTAAAATAAATAATTATGCAAACCATTTGGAATAAAAATAATTTCTTTCGCTGCCGTTGTATACATTGGTATATAAATAATAATTACTTGAAACGAGTATATATTGTTATTTTTTTGTTAAATATATATATTATTAACTTAAAACTGTGATTTATTTAAGTAAAAAAATAGATTTTGTTTATAATAGATTATAACTGACAGAACGACGAAAAATAAAAAATTGATAAAATAATTTAATCTGAAAACGATACTACCTTATTTATGTATTATGAGTATTCTAAAAAATATATACCAGCAATACATTAATGCTTTAAAAATAAAAATTGTTAATATACTGGACAATTTTATTTTAAAAATAAATAAAACGTCTGTAATATTATGATAATACGTATTCAAATGTAAAAGCTATCAAAATGAATAAGAAATGTTATATTTTCTGTATAAAATATATTCACTATAATACCTTACTGTTTTCTAAACAGTTCTTGATATATTGTTGTTAAAAATATGCTTTTAAGATTATTACTTAATTAGCTTTGATAAAAAAAAAAAAAATAATAATAATAATAAAAATCATAATTATGTGTAGAGGTATACTAAATCTATAAAAAAATCGGAAAGGCTTTTTCCCTTAGAATAAAAAAAGTTTGATGTACGTTAAAAAAAATACGCTACACAAGTGTTTCCTATTGAAATCGCTCTGTGAAGTGGTGTTTCCTGCACACTTACCTCCAATTGCAACCTTTAAATTATAATTATTTTATTACTTTAATCAGGTTTGTTTTTTACACGTAGCTCCTTTGAGTTATCTTGATGCCATATTATTTTAATCGAAGTACTAAATGTTAATAATTTGAAATACGATTGTACTTACAATCCCTTGACATGCCAACCGTGAGGCATTTTTTGAATCGGCAGTATTGACATCGGTTTCTGTTCAATCGAATTACTAAACATTTACCGTCTCTCAGACACCGGTATTCGATTTGTTTTTGAATACTCCGCCTGAAGAATCCCTGCATCAAACAAACACACATGACATATTAGACAACTATTGTTATTTGTTCACTTTTCAACCCATCAAAATAGATATAGGATTGGGATCATTGATATATACGTGATTTAAAAGCAAAATAGGGGAAAAAATGAAATACTGCCGTTATAAGTGTTATAATGATTATATAAAAAAAACCACCGAAGGTCAAGGAACCGGATAGTCCAACGGTACCGCATTATCCACCATGTTTACTCTTTTTCCATCTGATATACTTGTTCACTTCAGAATAAAACAAGAAAGTATATAATACTCAACTGGACTATATATATATATTTATTTATTTAAGTGTATATGTAGTTTTCAATTTTACAAAATTGAATCGAGTATGATTTGAGGTTGTTCGTATATGGTTTTTAGATATTATGCTACGAACGGAAAGTGTATTGCCGTATAAAAACTGTAATGAATCAAGTAAGTACTCGCCCATGGTAGTTTTAATAAAGATTTTTCGAGCGTGCGTGATAATGGAGTAGAACAAAAAAGGAAACAATCCGGATAATTTTTTTATTCTACTTCATAACTTAGTTTTTCCAATACATGTCAACATATTTGATAGATTGTAGAAAAAAATATATATACGTATGTGTATACATCAAAGCGGAAAGACAACAATTCCCCTTCAATTAAAACGCTACGTATACTACAGACGTATGTATGATACACGTACAATACACACATTTATGTAATACGACGTATATGTGCGTGTACTTAACTATTTTTTTCTGACGACTGCGAGTTGAACCACATTGTACTCCAGCAGTTAACGTACTGTCCGAACTGTATACTCTTTAATTATTATCGTCCGCAGTTAAATTAATTAGCTGTGTATGTTTAATGTCAAGAGTACATCATCTCGGAACGCACAACTTCTCTAAATGTACGTACACATTAAATTTACGTACAAAGGTGAAACATCGCTTCATAGTTATTGCTTGTCGAGATGTATACTCGTCTACTTGTAGTCATGTTTTTCGTCTGATGCGCAGGAAAGTGAGAACGCGGAAATTATCGTCGAACAAATGGGAAGTTCTGTCGTGTTCAGAGTTTTACGAAAAAAATCTTCACTCGTCTGTAAAGCGAGAGCACCACTTGTTTCCCCTCACGTATGATTTCTATTTATATGTTTATTAAATTGAATATACGGTAAAATAATAAGACAGAAATATTCTGATTTCGTCTCGACGGCATGACCAGTAGACAAGTTTTAACAAATATTTCGTTTCTCTGCACTCAATTCACCTCTTTGTATGGCATATATTTTCAAAAGGACATCCCAATCCGATAAGATGCAAAATTCATGAGTATATTTATCAGACGGTTCGGGATACGATATCACACTTATGCTGTAGAGCTCGAATTGAAAGGAACATCGGGGAAACCTAGCGACTCTACAGTGTTTCAGAGAATATTTAATACTACGTTTACGTTTACTTTTACACCATTTTTTTTTTTTTTTGAGTAGAACACGTGGGATGGTATACGTCTTTTTGGACATTCTGCTTTCAATCACAAAAGACATCTTTACGTTCATCGTTCGTATCGATTAACAATAAATGTCGACGGGAAACGAGTACAATAACGTTGCCGATAAATCTAAAGTCAATGAACTTTATGAATTTTATAACGTTCTTTTCGTTCGACGGCCAGGAATAACGTTGAAGTAATTTAAAAGCTTTAAAAGTTGAAAGCGTCGAAAGTACGTTAAGTTAAAAACCGTAACGTTGTATACTTTTCAATAACTTTAAATTTGTTTCGCGGACACGAGTACCTGGTGCGGCTACGGGGCTAATCAATTTTCGAGCACTGCCTGTCGCGTACAATAACGGTTCGAGGGTCGCGAGTAAGGTAATGGACAATTTCGCTGTACCCACCTTACAACCTTCGCACGACGTGACGCCATAATGGTACCCAGACGCTTTGTCGCCACACACTCGGCACGGTACGAATGACTTGGCGGGCGTAGTGTTCGAGTCGGCCGCCGCGAAATGTTGATCTGAAACGGAAAAAAATAACATAAACAATTAATCACCGACTTCGGGGTCTTGTCGTTTCGGATCGTGTCCAAAAGACTGATTCTAGCAGCGCGTTCGTATTACTTCGCGCGTCTTAAATAACACATTATGAACGATGATTAATCACGTTCAAGACGTATTCCATCGTCCCGCCGCGCGATCAAACATATCCCGTCACATGCCGTTCAACGGATTCGTTGCGAACACGTGTTGTAAAAAAAAAATAACACCCAGCACACGGAACCGTTAACGCTCGGCGTCCAATGTTTGCTTCGCATAAACCCGTATACGTTCGGTGCGGCCTAGTCGAACGGCCGCTGAAAACCGAATTTTTTTCGCCGCTCAAGACCTACCCCAACCGGAAACGGGTCGTACGAATTGATAACACCGCGCGCAATCGTACAAACCTAATTAGCTTTAAAAAGTCAACGGCTGAGCGAAACGTTAAAACGGCTATCTTGTACCGAAAGCGTGTGTCCGTCAATACGTCGACGATACACGTTCAAACGCGAATTTTTTTTCCTCTTTTCGTTTGCTATTTCAGCGTTGTTTGCGAAAAATTCGAATCGACCATTGGAATCTAGCGGTACACATTGACGTACGTGGTTGTGTTTTGTTTTGCCGCTCGAATCATGTGATGCGCAATGTTGTACATTATAATATTGCGACGGACGACTAACGATAACCGATGTGAGCAGAGTCGCGTTTAACGGGTGGCAAGAGGGCAATTGCCTCGGGACGGCAAATTTTTGAGGATCAACATAAAATAGAAAATAAATAATTATAATTTTTCTTCTACGACTGTATATAACTATGATACATATGATTTCGTTCATAAATATCACGAAAAAGCCGCAGTCCACTACCGCAAGGCGATAAGAATTAAGAACTTGTTCTAGCTGATTGTATTTTGTCACATTTGGTAATTTTTTAAATTTATATATGAGGTTTGATTAATAATTATAAAAATGAATAATGCGCTATTTAAAATATTAAATAATTTGCAAATGTATTGCTCTTGCATAGTACACTTGCATAGTCCTACCTACTATACTACAATACTGACTGTAATCACTAGTGTGGTGTACATAATTTTGTATTTTAATTTTCTTAAGTGTGACATATTTTAATGCGACACTGCCCGTGAAACTCGTCTGGAACGGTTGTCGTTTGAAAATTATCAACCAGTGCCGGTAACGTGAACGGTATCGTGTTAAGAAGCGTATTACACGATCGGAACGTGTACGGAGCGGTGTATGCGTATATCGTCCATGAAAGTTTGCTGCGAATTCCGTCCGAGAGAATTTAGTGCGCACTAACACCTACCTGGCACGCGTGTTTCTCGCTTGGGGGAGAACGGCAATACCGTTTTCCCAAAAACTGCCAACATCGATCCGGTGCGCCGTAGACGGGGGCCCAGCAGGGAATCCAAGAAACTAGGTCGCCAGACCTGTCACGCCCTACATTCGCGGCACCCTCGCGCTACATTCTACCGCCCTCTTTGTCCTTCTCATACTCGTCCTTCTCCGCTTCCGCCGCCACTACCCCCGGTCGTGCACGCTGGCATATATTTATCGTCCAATAATAAATCACGTTGCTATTTCAGTCGCTGTATGAAATCGACTCGACGAGTTTTCTTTCATTTTCTTTCATTTCCCACCCTCCTCTTCACCAATAGGACAATGAACGAACTAAAGTTATTGACAGCCGTACGTAATGTTACACAAACATGCGCGGAATAGTTACAGTAAGTTTTTCGATACTCGTCGGAATATTGCTATGATACCCGCTGATTTAATTTGAATTCGTATTTGACGAATCAGCCCTCGCGCAACTCCTCCGCACAAAACTAATAATAGGAAAATATGTAAAAATAAAAAATGTTTGATATTCACGTACACAATAATAACTCGCGAGCACATCAAACGTGTGGGGTAGCCTAGAAAGTGGTTTGCAACTTATTTGTACGTCCAAGCGTGATATCGATTTTATATTTCGTTGTTAAACTGAAATATGTTTTTATTCAATGCCATAAATATCTAGATATGGTACATGGATACAATATAAAGTGTGCGTCAATACTTCATCAAATCGACTTTATTGCCGCCGCAAAGCTATAACGTTAATAGGTAAAATATTTACATTAACATAGCCATTGTTGTAATTGTAATATTTTGCAGTATTTTCACAAGTAAATAAATGTTAATCAAATGAATATATTATAAGTAATGATGATATAAACAAACTTGAAGAGAAAGCTTATATTTTTAAAACGGAACACTAAGATAAATAACAATTGTTTAACATGTTTTCAGAATGTATGTATTCGAATATTTTTCAATATTCAAAATATTTATTTGAGTAAAAAATATACCACTATAAAAATAATTCGAATTTGAATTTACATTTGCATTTTTTTTGCGAAAAAAAATTTACATTTTTACATTTGAAAGTCTAGATTCTGAGTAAAAATTGGAAAATTTTTTTTTTGCACCTTATCTATAGGAATCTTAAGATGCACTGTTAAAAATGTCATAAACATTATACAATATTTGACTATTTAATTTTAAAATACCTCAGAAAAAAGTATAGAAGGTATTGTAATAACATAAGTTACGAGGAAATTATAATAAAAAAAATGCATAAACTCCTAATATGAATGTGTCACAGATCACCATTATATTAATATATTTTAAATGTATAACTTAAATTATAAGATTTAATAAAGTAATTCAAAGTTTAAAACAAACATAATATTTCAAATCTGAATAAAATTCTAATTAGTTTTATTTAGACTACGTATTTTAATGTTATTGAATAATTAAATCAAGAGCAATTTCTTTATTTAAGTATTCAAATACTTATAATCTAATGTTTTACAATTCTACGTATATATTAATTATATATTATTTACGTTAAAACATATTATATATAACCTAAAATATAATGTTTCTAATTATCGTTTATAAACAGATTAAAAAATAAAATATCTATTTGTCGTGAAAATAATAATAGTGATTTTACTCAGTGATTTATTTTAAATTATTTCAATAGTGAGTTGACTGGACAAAAGAGTTATTTAATAGGTTTTCTTTATTAGTTAAGAAAATTGGAAACAATAGATAACTTAATTAAATAAAAGGAAGTCCCCGTTATGTTTCAATTAATTAAAACTAAATAATAGCCTACAATTTTGTTGAAAATAATTTTATAATATTCAAAATAAAAATATTTAATTCTTAAATAAAAATTCTTAAAATACAATCTCTTGATTTTTTTTAATTTTTAATGTTTAATAAATAAATCTGGTATTTTTGCAGCCTCGAGGAATAAATACAACATGAAATGTAGCTCCCAAATTGAATTTAAAAGTTGTGTTTTTAAGTATATTCATGATTCGAATCATATATATTATTATTATTACTATTATCTCTCTCTAAAATTAGTTATCCATTATTTTCATCCCACAACATCATTATTATTTTCTTTTAACCGTATCATTATTATATAAATAATACCTTGTAATAACATGTAATATGTTGACACATTGTAAGTTTAAATAAATAAAAAAAAAAAAAAAATGATTCGAATCTCATCTACGTTACAAAAACGAAAAAAGTTGTCTTGACACATTCATTTCTAAAACAGTTTTTTCAAAATGTCAAGAATGACTACACTTAATATATTTTTATTCTTTTGGTACTTAATAATTATACACCCTCGATTCCATTTAAGTTATTTGGCTAAGTACGGTTTCTTCCAAATTGTGTATGACACCTCATTTTTTCACGAAGTATTACAAATTTAGAAAAAAATAATGAGTTTGAAATATATTTTTTTTTGAAAGCAATATATAAATTATTAAAATTAGATACCTATATTCAAAGATAATTTTTTCCCTTTAAAAAGGCAATACAACTCGAACGAAAATTCTTACTTTTCAACAATCATTATTCATTAATCACTGCAAAGCTTTTGTAGAAACTGTCATATACACTCTGAAAGATCGTGAACATAAACTATAAAGTGGGACTGGCAAAATAAGTTACGACGATAATAAGTTGAGATTTAAGTACTATTATAAAGCATTGTTAGTTGAAACCACATAGTCTTTAATTTTGACGGGAAAATAAAACAAGTAAGCTTTAAAAAAATTCCAATTTCGTGTGCGACTGACCAAATATGAAGTATCGCTCTTAACGATCCTGCGTATTTATAAGTACAGAAACACGCATACCAACACCGTAAGTATATAAGTATTAAACCATAGTATTACAATGCGAGAGTGACGTACGTGCATTGAGATTTGAATGCCAAGGCGGTGGGTGTGTGTCGTAATAACATGGTAGATGTAGTAACCGCGCAAGTGAAGGAATATGTGAAAAGAGAAGTGCAGCTGGTTCGACGAATACCAGTCATGTGGAGATATATCCGTCAATGGCTAAAGAACACGATTACATATTACGATGAAAAGCAATTATGATTTATCCTATGTAATACATATGTTCAAAATATAATATACGTATATAGGCTCTCGGAAGAGTACATGGCGAGCACACCGTGTTGGTGCAAAAATCTAATCCAAACGTGTCTGCATTTTTTGTTTTTATTTTTTTACTCCGTTTCGTGCAAAGACAATTTCGGCTATTTTGTCTATTATATTATTATTATTATCATCATCATCATTATTATTATGCACGAGAAACCGCCAAAACCGCTATCTATACAGTACACGTATAATTATATAACAACGCGCCGTCAGCCGACGGGTTCCACTCGACTAGTCGATTGTTCTGCATCAAAATCTCTCGAGCAAAACCACTATGGATCCTGAGCACTGCGGCTGCTGATAATAATACGTCATAAAACGTATAAATACGTTGAAGGATATTGGCTCGTTGTATCGTACATAAACGGGAGATAATCCACCGGTAAATTTTGTCTGCGAACACCGCAAAATTGTGGAAGAAAACATTTCGCA